CTAACGGGATGCAGGGGTGCGAAACTATTGGTGAGAGTCAGCAGGTTATCCCTGATCAAATCCCACAACTCCACAGTCCCATAGTGTGCTTCTGACCAGACCATGGTTCGAGCCGCAGCCTGGAGACATTCGGGTTTCATGCGCCCATAGCGTCGCCTCAGTTTGATTTGAGAAAGCAGAAGAGCACAGCCGTATTGGCACCGGATACTAGCGTGGTCACTTCTGCCTAGCGGTGCACCTATGGCAGTGATCCTGATGTCATTCCTGCTTTTGATAAACACAAAATCTAAGTTGCTAGGAGAGTTACCCAGTCGCCATCGGGTGGGGTCGGTGACGTGCTGGGTGAGCGCCAATTCATGAATCACCTCTAGTAGTCGCCTGTCTCTATATCTGTATGCAATACAGATAGTTATTTTAACACCCTGGGTAATTTCTTCGTAGCCCATTCGAGTCTGCTAAATCGTGTACAATTCCACATTAGATGTCATCGTGTACTGACCATTCCTTGGGTAGCAGCCCTTGAATTTTGGCCATCTACAACACGTTCCGATCCGCACTTCTGATCAATGTATTGTCTAACACCAGCTGCATGAGTAGACAGTTAAAACGCATCTCTCACTATCTCGGATTACCTCGGAACTAATGTGTAACCAGGAAAAGTTGTCTGCTCTCAAACAGATGATTTATTTCCATTTCTTCCCAATGTATACGGTTCTTTCTAGACGGTAAGCATCTCAAGTTTCTTTATTCTCTTTGCTGCTCTGTGAAAATGGTTTATTTATCTATGAAATCAGTTGCATATTGAGAAATATTCCTCGCGTTGGAAAAGATTTGAGGTGAAGTTACATCCACATGTTTAAGATCCAAATGGTCAGTTTCCCGAGCAAATGTGCCCCTTACCCTTCACCTATCTTCCTCAGATGTCCCCTCATCTGGTCAAGCGAGGTTGTCACAGTTCTGAGGAGTCTCAAATTTAATCAAATATCACTGAAGCTGCTGAAAGGATTTGCTCTATTACTCTATTGCTTGTATCGCTGTTATTAACGGTCTTTGAAGACGTACCACTAAAAACATTTTCGCTGTAAGTTTCTTCGAGTGACGCTTTCCAGAATACCGACGTAGTTTGTTCAACGACGCTTGATGTTCTCTCCCATTCTGCGCAGTCTGTACAGTCTTATTTCGGAAAGATTCTTCAGGTAGTATGTTTGACTTTTCTTCAGTGGTCTAACGGTTTCTGTTCCGTGGATCTTCATTTCCATCGCGACCGAAGGCAGTCGAAATTCTTAAGTACCCGAACTTTGTTCGCCTCACTTCTTCAACTCTGGCTCATTTCAGCAAGCCGCCTTCAACCTTCACCTTTCCTAACTTACAGGGGTTTCCAACCCCCCATGGTTTGGTGTATTGATAGTATGCAGATGAGGATGATACTCAGTCCGTTCGAACGGTTATCCTTATTTGGGAAAAATGTTTATTTGACTATTACACCTGGTCGTCATCCATCTTCCTGGAGTTCTATGATCGAATGTGGAGTGATGGTTGTTTGATCATGAAATCTGTTTCCTTCGCAATCCGTCGCTTTTAAGTGATTGCATCTAACCAATCCTTAATTCTGCCATTGTAAACTATTCATTAATTTTTCGTCTTACAATCTCTCTCTTATTTCAGGAAAATATCTGGGAAATTTGGTGCTCCCCAAAGTGTTTAATGCGTGAAAATGTGTCACTGACTGTAATAATGTCACACTGACTGTACTGAACTGTCTGTGTTCGTCAAATTTCTAAAAGCCGTATTCAAATTCAGAGATCAACACCGTAATGACCTTGCTGCACGCACGCACCTTCGTGTATAGGACTAGGTTAACGAATGCATTCGGTCTGGTGTCCTTCACCATTTACATGATAAAATCCTCGAAGTTGTCTCCACCTCCAGTAGTCGTTCCCGACTCGAAATCGTTCATCGTGCAAACCGACATTATTGACCAGTGAGTGTGCCCATTTTTGAACTGTATATGCATTACGGCCAATCCCACACTTTAGTTCACTTTAGTTTTATAATTTCTTTATGTTTTGAACATATCGCTTTCGCATTCCGCTGTAATCGGTAAATAAGGCAGATAATGTTCCTTTTCGAACACGCAAAATAATTCTTCACTTTCAAATGACAGTTCTTCAACTTCATGCTATACCTGGGTGTGCGGATAGGACTGTTTCATCATGCCATCGACGCAGGTCAATCGACGTTGGTGTGCGTCACGCCACACAGAAGTTCCACACTACTCGGTCCGTCGGGGAGAAACTAAACTGCTGGTGGTGATCTGGAAAAGTATTTCGTTGATTTCAATACACACTAGTGATGCGAAGAAGATGGACTTTGCTGTTGCACTGTCGCTTTCTGAGTGAGGTTGTCCAAATTATCTTTCAGACTAGGACGACCTCCATCGCCGATCGTCGTTAATCACGGTTATTTCACAAGATAAGCAATCAACTCTCTTGGTTGTCACACTGTATGGTAGAAAACAGATTGGCCTGTGAAGGTTCCTTTAAGAGGAACATTTGTTATAAAACTAAAATGGTGGGGGAGATTTAGTAGTACATGACTATTTACAGAATTACGAAACAAAATGAAGTGTTTACTTCTTAGCACGCGTTTCTCGAAAAAGGTGACAATCGCGCTATTCTAGCATGATATGATGGTAAAACTAATTATTCATTTACTGCGCTATTACTTCTTTTTTACACTGTTAGGTAACGTAAACTGTTAAACGATCCAATGAAAATAATATTGGTTTCATCTGATATATCCAAGTACCCGGAAAAAACTCTCGACACAACATATTAGGGCTGTACGTGTAGTCAAAATGGTCTCTTTAAATGGGTGATTTTCGAGTGACCACTCAACTCCACTTGTAAATTTGCTCCTTCTTAAGAAATTAGTACAATGCTTTTTACTAGTGGATGTAACACATAGTACATAAATTGCGGGTCATCCGCTTTACTTCTGCATTTCAGTAATACAGTTTTCTAATTACCCCCCGGTTGTTCACGTACCAGATGAATCAAATGGCTTTACATCACAATCCAATATAACTGAGTGCATCTGGCAACCGATCGTAAAAGGCCTAAGTTTGTCATTCCTCTTAGCAGACGTGAGCAACTTCGACTCCATGGCCTTACATTGAGATATCATTAATCGAAAATGGGAGTTTACGGAGTTGAATACGCTGGCAATCATCTAGAATTCTCTTGTTGCCTGTATAGTGATGAGATGAAAATAGCAGACGCGGATTGTGTTATCTCAGTCTGACAGACCAGCTGCGGTTAGGAGCAATCTGTAACATTTTATGATCCAAAGCCGAGATAGAAACAACCAATTGTGGAGTGAAATGCAGAATGGCAGAAGGAATTTCTTCAAATCCGCGGAACGAGTCATTACAGTCCCCGGTATTTTTTAATGGTGCTAATGATCACTGAAGTGTTCGTGGTTGAATACTAAAATTCGTCAATTTTCCCGCAAATGAATGAACCAAGTTTACTCTGAAAACCTGCGTTACCATCAAAAATAAAATAGATAATAAAAACATAACAGCAGTCTTTTGTTCAATCAGCCAATCAACATTGGGTTGATACCATGTGAAGAAAGATTAAAAGATGTTCATAAAATACTCGGTGTAGAAACACACTGTTAGTGTACTTCATTTCACGACCATTTGCCGTGGTATTCGAATGACTGTCGATCGTAAATTGATGTTTCTTTAATCATAAATGATTAGGAAGAGCCCATAAACAATGCTTTTCTGGGCTCAGGATAAATTCACTGTCTTGGTTTTTGGTCTTTTGCACCACCTCTCCACGATCTTCGAAGAACTCACTGGTTCCCAAAACGAAGTAATCCTAACGCAAGAGCAGGTCTGCTACAGAGGAGTTACAAATACATACAATGACAATTCGCAGCTCATCAATCAAGTACGCCATTAGGATATAACTGAAACAAATTTTCTAACCTTTTTTGTGGAAAATTGTCCCAAAGCAAAAAGGAACTGAACGATTGGAGTTTGATCACGTCCCGAATCAGAACCCTGACGTCCAGCCGTGACCAAATCCATGGCCATCCAGTACTCAATTTTTTCCACATGCCAAGATCTCGTATCAGTCCATTTGTTCGGAATGTTGTCCCGTTCGAGACAAACCCGTTTGGCTTTGTCCTCATCCGGAGTGGTGGACTCTGAACCGTTTGACGCACTGGTAGCGGTATCTGTTCGAATGGTCTCGGCAGAAGGGCTATCCGTGAACCGACGTCTTTTGAGGTTCAACTGAACCGAGCGATTTTGTAGCCCACTTGAGGCTTGATCACTTGCATCCAAAATAGCCTGTCTTGTCTGGTGCTTCAGTAGGGATTCTGTGCTGCGCACTGCATCCGTCAAATGATCATTCATTGTGCTGACGCTGCAATCGATGGAATTACTGAAGCAAGGCAAGCAGAAAACCGAACACAGTATGTTACTGATAAACACAGTTTGCCTACTTCCAACAACAGATGGAGTTTCACAAACGTTTTCAACCAAGAATCGGGTACTTTTATTTACACGAAAAAAGGGTTTGTAAATAAATGCTCACTGTGTGTATGGTGTATCACCGATAAAATATCGATTATTTTAAACATCGTCCAATGCCTAAAACCTAACTATACTGCTACTAAATGAATTTGCTTCTTTTCTCACATTTTTGCTTCATTCTTATGTTAAATACTTATTACCCGTACAGAGAAACACTTTCCCAATCGATTGATTTGTTTGATTTGAATGACTACCCTTCGGACGTCACATCACGCACAATCCTCAGTTCATTGACTCAACCATACACTCGGACGCACTAGACTCGAGTTTTACTCTTATTGGAGCTCATTAGTAGTGCATATTCACCGTCTCATCCGGGATTTGAACTCGCATAGAAAATATGTGTGTTACCACTGTGCCAACCAGCTCATACTATGGCTGAACCAAATTGCCAATTCATGTTTGTTCACGAGTCATCTTCAGTGATAGTAAGACAGCTCATTTGGCCTGACAGCAACGAAGGAGGACACATATGACAACATGTTAACTCCAATTGAAATCCTCACACCAAATCAAGACTTCCATGTAGGTTACGGGCTGATTGACCACATACCTACCAGGCTTAACTGAGCTTCGCATTTGACTCACAGGTACTACTCAACTTTGCTACGCAACTTTCATTTTCTGCCGTTGTGTGCGTTTTTGTCAGAAATTTCGCTGTTTGAACAGAGGCACTTTAAATCCTCAAAGTTCAGATGAATATAATTTTGGAATAAGCCTGTAAAGAATGCAAGAAATTAGATTTTGTCAACAAAAACAAATGGTTTGCTTCATATTTACTGAATAAAGTAGGTGATGCCCAAGCTTGAACATGGGGAAATATAAGCTACTGACCAGATGTTTTAAAGACTTGGGTAATTTTCCGGATTCAGCAGCTTACCATTAAACTGCAATCGATTTTGTCAAACTGCGCAAGCAAGCAACCACCGGAAATAAAATGAACACGTTAAAGTTGTTTTTTATTTAAAAGATCCCACGGAGCTCATAATGAGAACAGAAATTGGCAAACAAGCTCGGTTTCAGTGTGTCTTAATCATGCCATTACAACACAATAAATATGACTAGTATCAAAGAAGGATTTACAAGGAAAAAGAGAGGGAAGGAAAGTATTCAAGAGTTTGTTTCATAATTGGTCCCCAATTATCTCATACTTTGTTTGGTCAATAGAGCTAGAAAAATTTGCACGCAGGACATGCTGGTTGAAGAACTCCAAAATGTGCGCAATATCTTCATCCAGAATGGATATCCGTAGCGTTTGGTGGAATCTGTGATGCAAGGGCAAGAGGCATTTCCCAAGAGGGAAATTGCTGAGAAGAAGTCTGTATACATTTCTTTACCGTTTAAAGGTGACACCTTTGCAGAGATTGTGCATAGAAAGTTATCAAATGCCATCAACAAAACGTTCTACGCGGTTAAGCTTCAAACTCGATTCGCATCTAGCCCGCTGGTGTATTTACGGTTGAAGGATAGA